GTCTGAGAGACACTGGAGAAAAACTATGAATTAATGAAATGCACTATGTCTGTGAACTACATACATGTGTCAACCATTCAGAATGTCTTCATTCTCCACAACCTTTGTCCAGTTTTAGTCCAAAAGTGAGTTAAAGAGTAAATCTTCACAGAATTATAAGTAAATTTCCACTGATAGGTAAAGTTAAAGCATAATTTCTCCTCAGATAATGGGCAATTTCTTCTTGAGAAACTGTAAAAAGAATTAAGACTTATGCAGTGGCTATTAAGAAAGGAAAATAAAAACGTCTGCCATCAATGTGGAATGAGAAATAATAGCAACTAGATAATGAATTCCTGATCCCAGACTTAAGTTTGTATTTCCCACAGTAAGTCTCAGTGGGGGGATTTTTTTAAAATAGAGAAGAAAGTTGCATTCTTATTATCATCACAATAATGAATAAATCATTACAAAAATACTCATTGATAATCCATAGTATATTCTAATTTATCCATATGTTCAAGAAGATAACCACAAATTTAATATATATCTAGATCAGTAATATATACCAGCTATCAAGTATTCTGAAAATTGATTTTATATTTGTTTTATATTTCTCTGGAATGCAATTATATATGTTGAATTATTGTGTTCTACCACAATATAACAAATATAGACTTGTATATCCGTATCAAGTTTCAATTAATTATATATATATATCTTTCAGTAAATTTGTTCAGGTTCATCTATAATATGTCAATAATTGGTGAGCTAGCTCAATAACTGAATTAAAAATATCAATGATAATAGCTTATATTCCCCTTAGATGTTACACTTTTATTTTTTCCAAAGGGTCATTTTGAGAATCTTTTGATATTTCATCATACTTTTAGTGTCTTATTTAAACACATTAAAATAATTTAAATTGCATTATTAAATAACAGTGCAATTTTGAAAATTTGATCTATAATTTTATTTCTGATGCTTATACTACTTGTCTTACATTATTTTTGCTCAGCTATTCTGTGTGCTAAGTGATACTGTCATATTAAATTTATGTATGATTCTTTAAATTTTTTTCTGTGAAAACTGAGGTATCAAACAGAGCATCATTTGGATGGAATAAAGTGGAGTGCTAGATTTAATGTAAGGGCAGCGGTAGGAGTTTGGATTACTTTGGTTGTGTTGAGGTACAATAACTGTATGCACCAAAACTAAAAATGTTAACAATAATGTAACCATGCCACCTGAACTATAATAATTAATATTAAATGTAGAAGTAAGTAAACTTTTACCCATGGGTAAAAATCTCACTGATGCTTGGGTTTAAGAGGAATTTTTTTCAGAAATAATTCATGCTACCTCTGTTAGATTTATTGCTTACAACACCAACCCCAAATTGAAACAAATTCTTTGGCTTGGTATATTTTGGAGTTACAATAATGAAAAGATAAGTTGTGTATGCACATAAATAGATATGTAATTAAAATGATCAGCAGAGAGTTGAAGTTAACAGACTTGAAAGATGTTTTTCTTTCTCACTTTGTAGCAATGGTGTTGGACATCTGTTCACAATTAAAAATGCTTTGTGGGAGCTATGGTATTCTACACCCCATGATGACAAGACACACTCACAAGATGAGCAGTATGCAATGGTGAACTCTCATTTGGGGGGAAATGCAGTGAGTGACAGGATGCCACATTTATGTATGATGCATTAATCTGTTGAAGTTTCTAGAGTCCTAAGTACAGAGGCAGAGTCCAAAATTGTAGGCATTTGCTTGGAATATATTGACATCAATATAAAAGGACATTAAAAAGGTACACTTACTTTTAGTGTTGATTACTCAAGATGGTAATAAGCACTCCACTCAAGAGCCTTTAGAATTCACACGAAAGTCTCCCCACCAGATTCAAGGCTAAGTCAACCCACTTTGGGACTTGTTCCTTCCTTACTTCCTGAGTGCAGGAGTGCAGTAGTGGAAGATGGCATACTAAAAACTGAGTATTTTTTGTTGGTGGTGCCACGAATCAAATTGAGGTCACATACACACACACACACACACACACACACACACACACACATGCACGCGCGTGGCAAGTGCTCTTCTGCTGAGTAACTGTGCCCAGCCCCCAAACTGAGTATGATAAACAAAAGATGCCTATGGGAATAGCTACGAAAATGAATTATTCCAGCACATTTTAGAAAGCAAAATGGAAGTTTACAGTAGCCAGTCTAGTGTGTAGTAATAAGCAGAGGAAAGGTACTCATTTTTTTTACCCTAGGACTTTGAATGCTCAGTTGAGATTACCAAGAGATGAAAGGAGATGAGGGAGCAGACAGAGGAATAGACTAGAAGTAACATGGACAATGGTGGGAGGTCTTGGGTACTTAGATTATGCTGAAACTTTGTACAGCAAAAGCATAAATGTTAGCTCTCGCATAATCATGTTACATCAACTACAGTTTTTAAAAAATTGATCATCATTTATTATCTGGGAAATGCAAATCAAAACAATGAGGTATCATCTCATGACAGAATGCCATATATACAAAAAATAATGAGACAGTATTGCAGGGGTTGGTGTAAAAGAAGTAAACTGTCATTCACTGCTGGTGTTAATGTTGTTTGTCTCAGTCTCTGAAAAAATAGTATGTATATTTCTCAAAAAACTAAGAATACAGCTCCCATATCATGAAGCAATTTCACTACTTCATATCTATTCCCAGAATAAAAAATCTCTAGTCAGAAAAAAATAATGCACACCTACGTTCATTACAGATCTTAGTACAATAGCCAGGATATAAAAACACCCCAAATGTTTAATGACAGAGGAACAGATAAAGGAGCTGTGGTATACATGCACAGAGGAATACTATGAGTCACATACATACACACACGCACACAATAAGATCATGTAGTTTGCTGCATTTTGGATATAACTAGAGGATATCATGCTGAGTGAAATAAGCCAGAGGTAGAAGGATGATAGGGCAATAAAATAAGGATTCAGACAATGCCAATTGATAACAAACTCTGGGTACCAGAGTACATACTGAAAACTGGAGGGAGACATAGGTGGACTGGGAGTGACTCAAGGATTGGGTGGGGGGCATGGACACTTTGTTAAAGGCGAGGTAACTATGATGATTATGAATGTAAACACTATCTTAAACACCTAAAATAAATACAATAAAAAATTTAAAAGCACTTAATAAAAGATTTCTGCCAGAAGAAGGAGTAACAAAAGTGGCTGTTGTATACATAAAAAAGCAGGGAAAATATCCAACATGATAATATACCATCTTGCAACTGGTAAAATTTTAAAAATATTTCTGTTACTTCAAATACAAAAGAATTAAAAAAACAAAGGATGTCAAAATTAAGAAACATTTTATCACCTAACTATAACAAGAATTTTTTAAGGATGAAAAGATCCAGTAAACTGAGGTGGAGAAAAATGGATAATTTGGAATGCTGTGGTAATATATAGTTAGACAAAGTGTGATTCGTATATCTAAAACATATAAAATCCTGTACACCATTGCTGCCTCAATAAAAATGAATTTTTTCCAAATACTAAATGTTGGGATTTAGCTGATAGAGAATTAAAGGTAGCTATTGAATAAAGTCAATTAATAAAAGAACTATTAAATTAAATATAAAAAATATAAAAATCAGAACAAAATGAGATATTTACCAAAGAATGGAGAATTTTTAAAAGATTAGAAAAAGATGATGCTAAATAATTCAATGAGTAAAGTGAAAATATCAATATAACGCATATTTATTTAAGCAAAGGGAACACAAGTGAGAGAACAAAACTTTATAATAACACAGTCAAGGTAAATCAAGGGAAAAATAGTGAAAAGGAGCAAGAAGGTCTTTATGATCTATATGATTCCATCAAATAAAAAGTTGACATAAATTTGGTTCAGAAGAGAAAAAAAATAAGGCAGAATGCACTCAGGAAAATACCAAGAATTTCTAAAATCTGGGAAGAGAATGGGTCATCCATATACACAAAACTAATAGATGCTTATTATACCAAAAACTTTTTGTAAAATGCAATGTAGCAAAGCAGTTCAAGATAAAGAGAGAATTCTATAAGCAGCTACAGAAAAAGATTTTATGTACAAAGGAATCCCCATTTAACTACCAGCAATTTTCTTAGCAGAAATCTTCCAAATCAGGAGGCAATGACATATTCAGGTTAAAAAGGTGGGTGGAAGGGGGGGAGGGAGGTCAGTGAAGAATAGTCTAAAGTAAAAACAAAGGCATACTTCACACATGAAAAATACATTTTAGTTATTGATTACCTCTATGCCTGTCCTGCAAGAAGTGCTAAAAAGAACTTTTCAAGATGAAAGAACCAGTGACCAGAAAACATGTGAGAGCATTTAGTGCAGACAGTTTTGAATTTGTGCATGAAGTTGCAAAAATTCTGGCACTGATCACAAAAAAAGAAAATTATCTTCCATAGTTGATGTGAGCGTTTACTATTCCAGTTTCTATGAAAAACAGTATAGAGAGTTCTCAGGATATTGAAAATAGAGCTACTCAGAATCCATAAGATACATGGAGGAAAATGACAGAACCCTGAGATGTGGCGGACATGGAGTATATGTTTTTAGGATTATATAGTTGAAACTACAAGATAAAACCTTGAGATCTAGGACAAACAAAATTAGTCTAGATTAGAATATTCTATAGTAAACTCCAAGGGTTCCTAAGGGATTAATATTTGTTGTTCCCTCAGAATAAATATAATTATTTTCTATAATATACACATGTTCGGTAACAATAGTGTTGGAAGCATATTGCAATGTGAAATGTACAAATCAAACATGCCTTTAGCTTTTGTAGAATATTATCAATTTTTCTCAAAAACAACTTTTTTAAACAAGAATTAACAGGTTAGATGTTCCTTGCTTTTCCCATAAACTAAGGCTAATAAGGGTCTAGACATCCTATTCTTAATTCATAGATGGTTCTTTATCAGTTTTCACCTCCGAGAGGTCACTTTTTAAGAATATGGGGGTATTGCCTCTAATCTAGTTCCACACAGATCTTTTTCTCCTACCACTCATTCGTATGCCCATGACTTAGGTTTCTAGGGATCAGGAGATTCCTCCTGGGAAAATGTTGACTACAACCCTCTACCCTCCGAGGGTTCTATTTTCTTTGTCATACTTGCTGTACCTTTAGATTAATTTGCTTTCCTTCTGTCTTAATTTAAAAAGTTACACATTTATGTAGGATTACTGCTGTCTTTGAACAGACAGCCAGAGGTAATACCTGAAATAACTTTTGCAAAAATAGTTATTCTAATGCAATTGAATTTTCATCAAATGCCAGCCATAGAATTAGGTAATTATCATTTGTTAAACATGCAGCATATTTTAGGTCCTACGGATTATATTGTTTTGTTTATTTTTATTACTCAACAGACATAATATATATGAGAAGATATATATGTATGTGTATATATATCTATATCTATATAACTTCTTATTTACATTCTGCCTAGAGGAGACTGTGGATCATTGTAGGATTTAGTTCAAACTATAAGGACAGAAGTAGCAGTCAGTTCTAGGCCTTCTTGTTCCAGAGCCACATATTACATATATACACTGAATCATTCATAAAAAAATACTTTTTCCTACACAACTACAGTGTATATATCTATACTTGGTTTTCTGCATTGTCTAAATAAGCCAATAAGGGGTGCATGGTTGAAGAGAGAGATAAGAATGTACAAATATAGAGAGATAGGACAGGGATTATGGTGCTTGCCTTGCATGCAGTGGACCCCAGCTCAATCCCCAGCACAACTGACGGTAAGCTCTGAGCACTACTAGGTGTGTTCCCAAACAAAACCAAAACAAAACAGAATGTGTAAATTGGGAACATAACATAGCAGCTGATCACTTGCCATGGATATGTGAGACCCTGACTTCAATTATTGTCACTTCAAACAAATCTTACATTTTTGCATGTCTTGTATGTGAACAGTGTATGGGTCTACACCACTATGCTACTGTGGCCCTGAGCTTCACTGGGGTGGTCAATCTGGATCCCAGCACTATTGTGTCTGTGCAGAACCAAATTGCTGGGTCGTAGATTTTTATTGTCAAGCTTGGTTGACTGAATATTGCAGGGACTAGATTTGGATCCCCTGAACACTACTTTGAAGGCCTGATAAAATAAATGTGTCCATAGAATTATAATACAATAGATGATGTGTGGTATAAGGAAGAGCTACAAATCCTTGTGGGGATTATAGAGTTGGATGTGAATAAGATTTAGACATTAGGGAAATAATTAGTCTTTGCTAGATTGACCCATTAAAGATCTCTAGAACAGGGGCTGGAGTGATTAGCACAGCAGGTAGGGAGTTTGCCTTGCACGTGGTTGACCTGGGTTCAATTCCCAGCATCCCATATTGTCTCCTGTGCACTGCCAGGAGTAATTCCTGAGTGCATGAGCCAGGAGTAACCCCCATGCATCGTCAGGTGTGACCCAAAAAGCAAAAAAAAATCTCTAGAACAATGAAACCTATTTGATACGTATTTTAAAAACAGACATGGCAATGGACAATATAATAGAACATCATCAATCCTGTGTTTTATGCAGAGATATAATTTCAGGAAATGAATAAAGAAGTTGCAATTGTTTACTATTTGCTTAGTGAGTGGCATTTGCTGAATAAGAATGTCTCTTTTTGTGAGGAAGGAAGCAAAGAGGAATTAAAATATTTTCAATCTACTGTTGTCACCATGGTAAAGCTGTGTCTAGAAATACCTAAGAAACAGAATTACCACCATAAGCCTTACTGCGAACAGAGTCCTATGTTAAACCAGTGATGATAATGCTAATGTTAGAACACCTATCAGTTATCATATTGTTTTTCCTCAATTACTCCACATTCTATTATTTCTCATAAACCTTAGTTTTATTTGCTTCTGAGACTTTTTAGCGTTTTCCTGTTTTCATAAAAATTTTTGGTTTGGTTTCATCAATTATGTTCTTACATTATTCTTGGAATGATACATCCCTCCTCCCCCAATTACCTTTAAGTAATGCTGTTTGGGAAGTGGAGATAAGAAAGGGAAAGAAAACATAAAGACTTGCCTCTTTGACATGTGTCTCTTTTCATTTAAGATATTTCATCAATAGTTTTTCCTCATGTTCCCTTAGCCAACATTGGTTGACTACAATGTAGGTTCAACTTCATTTGTAGGTAATGACACAAAATGTGAAGAGCTTTGTTAGCGACAAATTAGATAGTGATATTTTCAGAAGACTGAATATCATACTTACTGTTTACTGAAGTTATTCACTTTCTCTAGACTATTTTTGCTGTCCTCCTAGAATTTGACACGTTAATCATAGTTGCATTGAACCTGCTTGATTCAGAAATGACTCTTTTGTGAAAGTGTTAAAATTGAACTTTATAATGGAATACCAAGAACTCCTTGAAATAACTCATAGCTGTTTACCTGGGTCTATGTGCTCCCATTTTAAGTGAGCCAGAGTTTTTCATCATTTTTAAGCTAAAACGTAGCAGCACTGTCTAAATATTTATTCATTCTTCAATAGATTTATTTTTATCATAGTCTAAACAGTGTATTATGGCATAAAGTCCTTTATATAACTAATCTTTAAGAGAAAAGAAAGTGAGGAAATGGTACCTCTTTGATATTTTTCTAAATTCTACTTGACATTCCCTGGAATAAGACCTTCAATAACTCACCCAAAGATTCGGACAGCTTTACTCTCATGAGTTCCAACTCCTTTTACTTTGTGGTGTAACCAGACAGGCAATAATAGTTGATATATTATTCACTTTTGGCTTCTGGGAGTATCCCACTCCATGAGTATTTTGAAGTGAGTGCATAATTTAAGCAAAGTTTAACTCAATATCCTTTGCCATTTATCTAACTCTGGTAGAAGGGAACATTAAATGCTTCTGTGTAATGCTCCATCACAACTAATAAATGATGTGGGGGCACAAACCGCAATAAAGGAGCAATTAAAATTATGTGAGTTATCTCTTGGGTATAGAGAAAACTCAGCTCTATTAATTAGTTCCTGGCTTAAGCTAGACTATCTTCCTGTTCACTAAGAAGGAGATCTTGCCTAAGATTGAAATCACACACAACTTTTCACAGCAATTTTATAGGTGGTTTTGTTGCACTTGCTCCAGATGGGAGACTGTGTCTAAGGAATAGCACATCAAATTAGGCACCCACAACTAGGAATACTACTATTCAACATTATATTAAGATTAGGGGTGATATGAGAAGAAAGAAATAGAGGGGAAAAACTTCACATTTGATCTCTAATCATGATTTTCATTGTTTGTCTTATTAATTTCATACATATATTACTTCTGTATCTATTCCTCAATTCCCATTATATAAATAATATCTGTATTATAACTTTTCTTTTTTCTTGTAATTGATGCAATGTTGGCTTACAAAACAGTGTATTATTTTAGTGAGCTTGACAAAAAAAATTTTAAAAAATTTTTTCTTTTGGGGTCACACCTGGCAGGCTTACTCCTGGCTCATGCATTCAGGAATTACTCCTGACAGTGCTCAGGAGAACATATGGGATGCTGGGAATTGAACCCAGGTCAGCGACGTGCAAGGCAAATGCCCTACCTGCTGTGTTATCGCTCCAGCCCCAAATAAACTCAACTTGAGATGGAGAGTTTCTAGAGATAAACTGAGATCGTGGTGCCTCAGTTTTCGGTTTTAAGACCAAAATCACTGGAACCAACAAAATTGTCAAATCTGACACAGTTCTCTAGTAAAGAGATTTATGAAAATAAGATATGTGGCATAGGTATGCTTACAGTGTGCTGTGCAGAATTGGTTAACTGATCTTTTGTGAATTCCTCTAGCCTTTATTTTACAAGAGCCTCTTCTTTCTTCTATTAATTTTTCTTAAATCTTTTCCATAACCCAATTCATAAAGCAACTAAGAAGGTAAGGTAGAAGAAAAATCTTTCAAAAAGATATGCGTATAAATATATGTTATCTTTCTCCCCTCTCGCCTCTCTCCCTTATCTCCTTCACCTCTCTTCCCTCATTATTGTTTGGATAAAAATGCTTAAAATTTTTTTCATTTAAATTCTTTAATAACAAAGGTTATTTTATTTTTCTAAAACACAAATAAATGCATAACAGTGAAATATAGAAAAATAGAAAATCAATAAAGAAAAGTACAGTTGTGTGTTATCCTAGGTTCTCATTATTTTTCTAAATGTATTTACTATCAGGTTCCATGTTCTCAAAACATTTGGTTTTATCTATTCTAATTATGGAAACACATTTTATTTATTTTAAAAATTTTTAAAAATTTTTATTAGTGAAACACCATGAGGTAAGTTGTAGATTTACAAATTTTTGTGTTTGGGTTTCAGTTATAGAATGATTGAGTAACCATCCCTCCACCAATTCCCATTCTCCACCACCACTGATCCCAGTATCCCTCCCAACCCCCAACCCCCCATCCCACCCTGCCTCTATGGCAGGCCATTCCCTTTTGTTATCTCTTTCCTTTTGGGTGCTGTGGTTTGCAAAAGAGGCATTGAGTGGCAATCAAGTTCAGTCTAGAGTCTACTTTCAGCATGCATCTCCCATCCTGGGAAGATCCTCCCAACACCCTTTATTTGGTGCTCCCTTCTCCATCTGAGCTGCATGTGCAGCTGGCCTCCAAGCCATGGAGTAAAACTCCTGGTACTTGTCTCAACTATTCTTGGGTTTATTATCCTATTTTGTTACTTTATGTTCCTCAGATGAATGCAATCTTTCTATGTCTGTCCCTTTCTTTCTGACTCATTTCAGTTAGCATGATACTTTCCATGTAGTACCACTTGTATGTAAATTTCATGACTTCATCTTTTCTAACAGCTACATAGTACTCCATTGTATAGATGTACCAAAGTTTCTTCAACCAGTCATCTGTTATCGGGCACTCAGGTTGTTTTCCAGATTCTGCCTATTGTAAAGAGTGCGGCAATGAACAAACTGAATTGTCTATACTGTTTTCCAAAAGGGCTGAACCATTTGGCATTCCCACCAGCAATTAAGGAGGGTCCCTTTCTCGCCACATCCATGGCAACATCGGTTGCTTTTGTTCTTTTGGATGTGGGCCAGTCTTTGTGGAAACACATTTTTAACAGGCATAGACATAAGTAACATTGCCTGAAACAGTGGCAATAAATATGCCAATAGGGATTAAGGAAACCAAGTTTTCACTTTTCCCTACTTAACTATGATTGTACGCAGTAAAACTTTACTTACAAATTTTTTTTGGCTTTTTGGGTCACTCCCAGTGATGCTCAAGGGTTCTCCTGGCTCTGAACTCATAAATACTTCCGGGAAGAGCTCAGTGGACTATATGGAATGCCAGAGATTGAACCTGGGTCAGCCACTAGCAAAGCAAACTCCCTACCTATTGTGCTATGGCTCCAGCCCCAATCGTTTACAAATTCTTAACCTGTACTTTGTGTAGTGGTAAAAATACCTGCCCCAATAATTTTCCTTACTGTGGTGAATGCATAGCCCACTTCATCATCCTTTTGAGGGCCTCTTTGATCTCTTTGTTTCTTAGACTATAGATAAGAGGGTTTAACATGGGAATGAGGATAACATAGATCACTGACAGCACTTTGTCTTGCTTCTTGGTGTGATTAGAACTAGGATGCAGGTAAACAGAGAGAGCGGCACCATAGTAGAGGGTCACAACTGTAAGGTGAGAGGCACAGGTATTGAAGGCCTTGGCACTACCTTTCACTGAAGATATTTTCAGGATTGAGGCTGTAATAAAACCATAGGATAACAGAATAATGAGCAAAGACCCAAAACCAACAAACAGAGCAACAAGAAAAATAATTAGCTGGGTGATAAAAGGGTTGGAGCAAGACAAGGTAATAATCTGAGGTAAGTCACAGAAGAAATGTTGAATGATATTTGAACCACAGTAGTAGAGCTTAAAGCAAGGAATTGTTTGAACTAAACTACTAAGGAAACCAATGCAGAAGGCCCCAGTCACCATCTTCTGACAGAGGTCAGGTGCCATGATGGCGGAGTACTGTAAAGGGTTACCGATGGCCACGTATCTGTCATAGGCCATCGCAACCAAGAGACAGCACTCGGACAATCCCATCCAGCACCCAACAAAATACTGAGTGGCACAGCCAACAAAAGAAATGATTTTCTCATCTTTAAAGAAATCTGAAAGCATCTTTGGGCTGATGGAAGAAGTAAAGCAAATGTCTATTAATGAAAGGCAACTGAGAAAAAAGTACATAGGTATGTGCAGGTGAGAGTCCATCCTGATGAGTATTACAAGGCACAGGTTCCAGAATAAGGTCACAAGATAGATTCCCAGGAAGACTGGAAAGAGAATAAGCTGCAACTCTTTGTCATCTGTGAGTCCCATAAAAAGAAACATGACCACTGAGGAATGATTTCTTTTCTCTTCCATAGTGATGCTTGCTTCCATCTGCTGAAAACAGATCAAGAAGAAAAGGTATTAATTCTCAAAATGCAAAATAAATTGTCCTCTTTTTTAAATTCATCTAACTATAATATAGAATCACAACAGCACAATAGTTGAATTTTCTTTGTATTCATTGTATAATCATAAACTTTTACTTCTTGGCTTTTTTTCTCTGTTTCTTGGGGGTCAAAAATAGCTGGGTATCTTTAGGATAATTTAGGATATTATTCCCCGAGTTACTTAGCTTCATGATTTCTCATTATTATATCTTGGTGTAGTTTATAAATTAAAGATTAAAGTATAAGAATTGTTTAAATTCTCTGTTTGGAGAGTCATTTTATATAGACTTAAGTCTGGCATTATATTTTTTAATTTTCCTTTTACATTTTATTTTTTACATTTTTACATTTTATGGGCTGGAGCGATAGCACAGCGGTAGGGCGTTCGCCTTACAAGCGGCCAACATGGCCGACCCGAGTTCGATTCCTCTGCCCCTCTCGGAGAGCCCGGCAAGCTACCGAGAGTATTCAATATGCCAAACACAGTAACAACAAAGTCTCCAATGGAGACGTTACTGGGCCCGCTCGAGCAAATCGACGATCAACGGGAGGGCCTTTACCTTCACCTTTACCTTTACATTTTATACAAGCACTGAGGTTTACAAAGTTGTTCAGAATGATTTGTTACAGACATTTAATATTCCAACATCAATCTCACCACCATTATAACTTCCAAGTTTGACACTATTAAATTCTTAAAGAAGAACTTATTTGTGATGGGTCTTGTACTTAAAATAGGACACCGGAACAGATGCTCATAAACTATCATTGAGGACAGACATTCACTTAATCCATATCAGAGGGAGCAGATAATTTTTGCTTTCACAAAGACTGGAGATACACAAGAATAGTGTAACTGGATCATGGGAGCAGTCTGACACCAAGAGGCAACTTCGAAATTAATGTGACTGACCAAGATAGTTAAAGTTAGGAAAACTCAATTGAGTGTTCAGTGTAACAAAGTTCAAAGAACCACTCTACTCCATTTTTAAAGACACAGCATTTACTTACTGAGACTTGTGGACAAAATGATCTAAAAAAATGATTCTTAAAATCTTCTTTGGTTAGTAATATCCTTAAAGATCTGTAGAAATCTGTATATTCTCCAGTTAGGAGAAGAATTTCTATACTGTTTTACTGAATTCTCAGGATGATCTTGCATCGAATTACGGCCACCAAATGTAGACTGGGTACACAAAGTTCCTACAAAGAATAATAAGCTGAACTCATGTAAGGATTAGGATGCTTAAGCAGTGGATATGGGGATTAGGAAATTTGGGTGAAATTTTTGGAAGTTCATTCTCTTCAGGGTCAGTTCAGGGAAGACAAATAGCAGGTCATCAGGACAATAATCAAAATAATATTTTTGTAGGAGTCAGTTTATGTTCTCTTCAAAATGTGATGTTTGTTACTTTCTCTAACTGGCCACTAGAACAATTGTGTAGCACAAACACAATTTCATTAGGGTAAATTTAGATTAGAAATAGAGTTATAAAAAAATTAAGGTACAAACAAGCCTTTAGAGTAGAGCCTTTAGAGTAGAGTAGATGGAAGTTATGTAGATAATGTCAAAGTCTTGGGAATTTCCTGACAGAAAGACACTGCCATTAATGTAATAAATTATGCCTTTGAACTATACATATGTCATTGTTTTCTTTCTCATCTACCATTTCTTTTTGTTTCTAGTACAAAAGTGAATTAAAGAGGAAAATCCTCTCTGTCTTATAAAGGCTAGGAGTCATTTTCCATCAGTATTAAGTAATTTCTCTTTGATACTCTGTAGTGAGAATATTTAAATATATGAAGTAAGTAATAGAAAACTAGAGTAAAAATGTCAACAAACATAAAGTATGAAATGAAATATAGAGCAAACAGATTTTGTATTTACTATGACAGATTTGGGTTGTATTCACAGTATGACTGAGAAAAGAGAGTTTTTTTATGGAAAGATAACAGAGAGTCTTGTATTCATCATCAACAAAATAAGCAACAATCATGGCAGCAAAAATATCATTAGCATCTATAATATATTCTGGTTTCTTCATGTACTCATGGTGATACTCACAATATACTCTATTACATACCCATTCAAAATGGTAAGATATTTTATTGTGCTACTTAATTAATCTATACAGTACACTAAAATTTGACTTTATATTTATTTTCTTGTCTCTAACATTTAATTACAGATGTTTATAACTGGGTTTCATCCTCCATATAACTTAAAAATTTATTGGTTGTATACTTACTGAGTTCTGATTAAATTTTTTCAATGTGTCTTCCAGTACATTTGCTCTATCAGAACTATCACGAATTTGCTGTTTAATTCAATAATTGATTATAAATATTATAACTATCTTTTTTCAATCTCTTAAAGCTCCATTTAATTCTTTCAAATAGGATCCAGTTTTGTAGTCTTATTTTTTCACCAAAATTTTAATATTATCCTCTATTTAAGCATATCAAATGTATTTAAAGTATGTTATTAACTAATTTAGATGAACTGTCCACAAATTTTATTGTAGTTTTACCTTATTGTTGATTCTTGCATAAGGTGCCTTGACTGCTTATTTGTGTTAAATTATTTTGCTAAATTAAATTTATGTTCCTTCAAATTAAACTGGATCATTCATACAATGATGGGTATCAATGATGCTCTCCTTTAAAATGTGTTTCTTTGGAAATAATTCATTCTTTTTCATTCAGGTATCTTGTGGGGCAAAACAAACCTGAAATTTCTTTAAGCAATATTTTGGATTTTCTGTTATGGTCTGGTGTCACAAAATGCTGTTTTAGGTTCTAGGCATACCTAAGTAGATGTATCAATAAATTACCAAGAAAAGATGTAATAACTATATCGTAACCTTGAAAATTAATTTTTTTGTTTTCTCATTTAAAACAATGAATTCCTTTGTGGAAGTTGTATTATTGAACACTGGCAAAATCCATGAGTTGGACAACACAGCAAAGGAAAATTTTCACTTAGGGGGTAAAGGGAACGAGTGGGCCAGAAACCTTATTTATCTTGAGAGCTGAAGATACTAACTTATCTCTAGAAATATTCAAAGCAACAAGGCAAAGAGACTATGACTTGAGGGAGTATAAACCTATTGGGAATAATGTCAATACTAATAAAAAAAGGCACAAAAAGGTTAGAGTTTCTTTTGCATGCTCTCATAATTTCAGTTGGATGTCCATTTATGAGACTCTTCACATAAAGATCTCCCCACCAGATCCATGAGAAAATCCAATTTGCTTAAATAAAGTGAAAATAGCAATACAGAGTTTCTGCAGCACAAAAAATTGAAGATTAAAAAGTGAGTTAGGGGCCGAAAGACAGCACAGCAGGTAGGGCACTTGCCTTGTAGGCAGTCAACCTGGTTTTGATCGCTGGCACCACATATGGTCCCCTGAACACCACCAAACGTGATTCCTGAAAAGAGAGTCAGAGGAAGCACTGAGTACTTTCAGGATTTTCCCACAAACAAAATCAAGATTAAAAATTTGTAACTATAAGCTAAGTCCTAGAGATAAAGTACAATGATTATGGGAGCCTTGTGGACAGCAGGTATGAGCAGGGAGTGTGGGGGCGACTAAAACCTCATGGGAAGGGGGGCGTTTCGCTCCGCCCTTCACGCCCTACGGAGGCCACCGGTTGCCCCCCGCGAGCGGCTCTCCAGCACGGCCAGGACTCCAAAACACAGAAACCAATTTCTTAACTATCTGACTTTCAGTAGAAATACTTCCAGGGTCAATAGGTAAAATAGCAGAAATCCAAAACCAACATTTAATTCTTGAACCCAGCTGTAGAAAGCAAATCACTTCACAATGCTTTTTCAGCATGTCTGATTGGGGGGGGGGGGGTAAACTCTAAATAATAGTGGTGAATCTTTTATTGAAACAATGAATCTAATCAAAGCAGATAGAGTGTTAACTAGAATTCATCTGCCTCACAGGGACGGGGAGGGGTGGGGGGTGGGGTTTTATTGGGGTTCTTCATGGTAAAAAATAAGTATTGGTAAAGGGAAATGTGTTTGATATTTGCATGACTAAGACATAAACCTGAAAGCTTTGTAACCTTTCCCACAGTGATTCAATAAATAAATAAATAAAAAGTACAATGATTATAAGCAAGAGTGTAAATTTCAAGGTTTTTAAGAAGCTTTATCTTAATTGTTCTATTGTATGACCAACCAAAATGTAATCATGCAAGTTTGTAAGTATGTAACTGTATCTTAATTGTTCTCTCTAGAAGAGATATTAATTATGGCCATAATATTGGATGGTGTTAGATAGGGATTGGATAGCAGGGAAGTGGGAAATGTATTGTAATATGTAATTTGTCAAAACGAGCACATTGGACATTCATGTTTATGTAATATTATTTGTTGATTTTTTTCTTAATAATAGTAAAACATTTCTGTTGTTATTTTGTGTTTTGGTGCTATCCAGAGAAGGCAGTACTCATGGGTTATCCCTGGTTCTATGCTCAGAAGTGAGCCCTGGAAGTGCTCAGGGGGCCATGTGGTGCCTAGGATTTGAACTAGGATTGATAGCATGCAAAGCAATATTATCTCCTATATTATCTCCCTGGTCCATAATTTTTAAACAGGAATTATCAGGCTTTTTTTTTGTTTCTTTTCCTATATTCTAGAGCTGACACAGGTATGTGCATAATTACCCTATTGAATGAGGTATGTTATTTTCCTCCAGTTTTCTCTGGAGTATTACCTCTGGGAGTCTGTGTTTCCAAGGACGTGTCTGTGTTGCCTTTGATCCAGTGTCACACAAAGTCTTTTCTCCCATCTCTCATTGTCATGCCCTTAAAACCTAGGATGTAGGTTACCAGAGCTCAGCAGATCCCTCCTGGAAGAATCCCTCAGCAGATTCCCTCCTGGGAATCCCTCCCCAGACTTTTCACTCTGAGCTTTATGCTTTCTCTTT